ACTGTTGCCCATAATTACCAGGAATTCCTTCAGAATTCAAATTAACGTTTGACCGATTGGGAAGGGAGAGCAACGCCTCCACTGCCCTAATGCGTATCAAGCAAGGGAACCGGTCTGTCTCAGAGTATGCCATAGAATTCCGCACCCTGGCTTCTGAGGTAGACTTGACCAATAATAAATTAATCACCACATTCGCAGAGGGATTATCCGAAGCTATCCTTAATGAGATTGCAGCCAAAGAACTACCAGGGATATTAAATGAATACATCACTTACGTGATGCATATAGATAATCGACTTAGGAACAGGGAGATAACTAGAAATAGAACCAGACGTATGAATATGTCATTGGCGCCTCGCTTCTCTAGTCCTATCGTTTTAGCCCTCCTGTGCAGTCTGAAACTGAACCTATGCAGTTAGGGGTTGTGAGACTGTCAGAGGCAGAAAGACAGTTTAGGAGAAAAGAGGGCCTTTGCTTATACTGTGGCAGGAAAGTACATGTGAGAAATGCTTGTCCCATATGTCCGGAAAACTTGCGCACCTAAGAACCATAAGGGGACCGATCTTAGGTGTGATGGATATTTCCCCTGGTACTACCCAAAGTAGATTTCTCCTTAATATTACTGCTTTATGCAACAAGAAAAGTTTTCCATGGAAAGCCCTGATGGACTCAGTTGCTGCAGGAAACCTTATCAACATGCAATTTGCCAGTAAACACCTCCTACCCATCAAGGAGAGATCATCACCCTTGGCCGTCGAGGCCATTAATAGGAGACCTCTCTTTTAACCTCTAATTACCTATGAAACTATGCCTATTACTGTTACTATAGGAGCGTTACATAAAGAAATCATTACATTTCAGATAATTGCTTCCTCTTTTTGTCCCATTATACTAGGATTCCCATGGCTTGTTAAGCATAATCCTCATATTGACTGGGCTAAGGTGGAAATACTTGAATGTGGTAAAGAATGTAGTGAGAAATGCATGTTCCCTATTACTAAAAGAGTGGGCATTAGAGATGTCCCGAACAGTTCGCTGACGAATAGTTCCTGGCGAACATCGCTTGTTCGCGTTCGCCACGGCGGGCGAACATATGCGATGTTCGGTCCGCCCCCATTCCATATCATTGAGTAAACTTTGACAACCCACCCGCCGCTCGGGGGTGGGGGTTGTCAAAGTTTACTCAATGATATGGGGGGGGGACCTACTGTCCTCCCCCTGACCCCCACCACTGAGCGGTGGGTGGGGGCCTTAAAAAAACAATAGGGGGGAACTTCTGTCCCCCCCCGACCCCCACCCCTGAGTGGTGGGTGGGGGCGCTAAATACTAAGAAGGGGGGGACCTAAGGTCCTCCCCCCTGGCCCCCACCCCTGAGCGGCGGGTGGGGGCAAATAAATCACAATGGGGGGGACCTAAGGTCCTCCCCCCTGGCCCCCACCCCTGAGCGGTGGGTGGGGGCCCTAAATACTAAAAGGGGGGGGACCTAATGTCCTCCCCCCGGCCCCCACACCTGAGCGGTGGGTGGGGGCAAATAAATCACAATGGGGGGGACCTAAGGTCCTCCCCCCTGGCCCCCACCCCTGAGCGGCGGGTGGGGGCCCTAAATACTAAAAAGGGGGGGACCTAAGGTCCTCCCCCCTGGCCCCCACCCCTGAGCGGCGGGTGGGGGCCCTAAATACTAAAAAGGGGGGGACCTAATGTCCTCCCCCCGGCCCCCAACCCTGAGCGGTGGGTGGGGGCAAATAAATCACAATGGGGGGGGACCTAAGGTGGGGGCCCTAAAAAAATGTGTCCCCCCCAGGTGACTAGGGGTCCCCAAACCCCAAGTCACCCCCTCCCCCCGCAAAAATAAATTAACCCCCTACCTACCCCCCTCACCCTAAAAATAATGAGGGGGGGACCTTTAACTAAGTACCTGTAAAAAAAAAAAAACTTACCATTCGATGTTTTCTTTCTTCTAAATCTTCGTTTTTCAGCCCCAAAAAAGGCCAAATAAAAAACCATAATAACCGACGCAATTAAAAAAAAACGAGAGCAAAAAAAATAATCCATGTTCACCCGGCGAGGGCTCCGCGCAGACTGAGCTCTGCAGGGCAGGGGAAGGCTTATAAAGCCTTGCCCCGCCCTGCAATTAGGCTCAGAGCACTCTGATTGGTGGGTTTAAGCCATCCAATCAGAGTGCTCTGACAGGTAAATGAAGAGACTGACAGGTAAGTCTCTACATTTACCTGTCACAGCACTCTGATTGGTTGGTTTGAAATCCACCAATCAGAGTGCTGTGTCATTTTACACAGCGGGAAAGGTCCCCCCCATTATTTTTAGGGTGAGGGGGGTAGGTAGGGGGTTAATTTTTTTTGGGTGGGGTGACTAGGGGTTTGGGGACCCCTAGTCACCTGAGGGGTGGGGGGGGGAATTTTTTTTAGGGCCCCCACCCGCCGCTCAGGGGTAGGGGGGCTCGGGGGGGAGGACATTAGGTCCCCCCCCATTGTGATTTATTTGCCCCCACCCACCGCTCAGGGGTGGGGGCCGGGGGGGAGGACATTAGGTCCCCCCCATTTTTAGTATTTAGGGCCCCCACCCGCCGCTCAGGGGGGACACTATTGGATGAGTGGAGGGGGGAACACTATGGGATGAGGGGATGGGGAGAACACTATTGGACAATGGGGCAGGGGAACACTATTGGATGAGTGGAGGGGAGAACACTATGGGATGGGGGGGAGAACACTATTGGACAAGGGGGAGAGAACACTATTGGACAAGGGGAGGGGGGAAGAACACTATGGGACAGGGTAGGGGGTTAAAGATCACTATGGGACAGTGGAGGGGGGTTAAAGATCACTATTGGCAACAGCGAGACTCACATGACCTCTTTATCTACACAAAAAGTTTCCATTTTTCCATGTTGTCGGTTTGCTATCATGGGTACATAGAGACCTGCGCGTCTCACCCACATCCTATATTGTTATTTCCGAGATCTGCGCATCTCATATGACCAATTGTTATAACCCACGTGTGGTTGATTATCTCCTTAATTGAAGTGTTGTAAAACATTCGAAAACTCACCAATCTTCAATAAAAAGAGATTTACAAAAAAAAAAAAAATCACTATTGGACAGGGGAGGGGGTTAAAGATCACTATAGGACAGGGAGGGGCAGTTAAAGATCACTATGGGACAGGAGAGGGGCCTGGGTGGTAAGGAACACTATGGTACAGTTTGTTCAGAATATTTTTTTCTGGGTTTCCTCCTCTAAAAACTAGGTGCATCTTATGGTGTGGTGAGTATTATGGAGCGAAAAATATGGTTGTACATGGTGCCAAAAATTTTAAAACTCTGACACATCTGTTGTTTGACATTTGACAAGTTTAACTGGTTTTATCTCTTTTTACTGGAGGCACTTGGGTTTGGGACTAAGGCCTTGATTTATTATTTTTGGATAAGGTGTTTAATTGATCACAAAAAAAATCTCTTTAGTTGTTTTATTTCACAAAAAGTCCTATAGCCTTTAATGGTGACTTTTGTAGACAAATAATTTGAAATGTTTTCCAGCAGATCATAATCATTTGAAAAGTTTATCCCAAAATACTAAATTGAGGCCGAACTAGCAATAGTCTTGATTTAATATTTTTTGGATAAGCTTTTAAAATGTTTTTATTTTATTAAATTATCAAGAAATATATAAATATATCAAAAAGTATGAAAATATTATAAATACTTTTCAAATATTAAATAACTTGAAAAGCTTATCCAAAATTGAGTCATAGGTGGTGGCAGTGTTTAAAATATATATATATATATTATTATTATATTATTATTATTATTGCCATTTATATAGTGCCAACAGATTCCTTAGCGCTTTACAATATTATGAGAGGGGGATGTAACTATAAATAGGACAATTACAAGAAAACTTACAGGAATAATAGGTTGAAGAGGACCCTGCTCAAACGAGCTTAGTCTATAGGAGGTGGGGTGTAAAACACAATAGGACAGGAAATAGCAATCAAATAAGGTGGGAGTGAAGCAGGGCTGGAGGAGAGAGTAAAATGCTGCCCTTTAGGAGAGAGCAAGAGACAGGTATGTGAGGTAGAGGTTACTCTGGGAGGCCATAAGAGATGGGTTTTAAGGCACTTCTTAAAGGATTGAAGACTAGGGGAGAGTCTGATGGGGTAGGCAGGCTATTCCATAGGTAGGGTGCCGCCTACAAGAAGTCCTGCAAGCGCGAGTTGGCCGTATGGGTGCGAGCAGCGGTCAGGATGTGGTTACGGGCAGAGCGGAGTGAACGAGGAGTGGCATACCTATGGATCTGTGAAGAGATATAAGAGGGGCTAGAATTGTTCAATGCTTTATATGTATGGGTTAACACTTTGAATTGACTCCTATAGGATACAGGAAGCCAATGTAAGGACTGACAGAGGGGTGAGGTATGAGATGACCGACTAGAGAGGAAAATCAGTCTGGCGGCAGCATTGATTACAGGCTGTAGCGGGGCAATACGGCTTTTGGGAAGACCAATCAGGAGAGGGTTACAATCAGGGCTCGAGTCCTGCAGGAACGCATGGGAACGGCGTTCCTGCACTTTTTCCAAAGCAGGAACGCCGTTCCCGTTACCTGTCCTGCAGGACCGGCCCTGCTACCTGCATAGAGGGGCCATCACACGCTGTGTTCCCCCTCCAGCTCTAACTCTCGCGAGACCCGCGGCTGTTACCATGGCAACGCTCCGCACAGGCGAGTCTCGCGAGAGTTAGAGCTGGAGAGGGAACACAGTGTGCGATGGCTCCTGTGTGCAGCGGCTGGCTCCCTCCACCGGACCACCAGGCGATCTCCCCCCTCCCTGACAAGGTAAGAAGCAGGGAGGGGGGATAAAATAAACACATAAAGTAAAAAAATGCTTCCCCACACATCATCCAGCACTCACACACCCATCATCCAGCACACACACACACCCATCATCCAGCACACACACACCCATCATCCAACACACACACTCACATCATCCAGCACTCACACACACATCATCCAGCACTCACACACACACACACACATCATCCAGCACTCACACACACACACACACATCATCCAGCACTCACACACACATCATCCAGCACACACACACACATCATCCAGCACTCACACACACATCATCCAGCACTCACACACACATTATCCAGCACTCACACACACATCATCCAGCACTCACACACACACACACACATCATCCAGCACTCACACACACATCATCCAGCACTCACACAGGGGCGGGGGGGAGGCGGGAATCTTGGGTGAGTTCCCACACTTTTTTTCCCCAGGACTTGACCCCTGGTTACAATAACCCATGCAGGAAATTACTAGAACATGGACAAGCTCTAATCTGTTTCTATACAGCTGCCTGAGTTTGAATCCTTTTTTTATTTTTCCTGATGTTGACAATGGATTTGGGATTATAGCAGGTTCTGTTTCCATTACCAATCAAATTTACCCACAATCCATCAGTAAAAACATCCCACTGAAGGGCAAACATCAGACTTCTTAGGAAGAGGATAACAAAATGGCTGTGCCCAGGTATTGAGATCCTGTACAAGAAAATATAATACATATAACTGAAGGCAAGTGACAAGGGAGATAACATAATAATTAAGCTACAGGTAGCATAAGAAAAGGAAAAAGAAAATAAGTGACAATGCCACTTTAAGTTGTGATGTGTTTGCTCATGTTGAATGAATTTTGTGGATATCTTCTAAAATGTTGACTCCAATTACACTTGTTTCTTTTCTCCTCTTATTTCAGAGAAAAAGTTTTAACCTAAATGTAATTTCTATTTTTTATTTTATTTTTTGTGCTTTTACATAAACCGGGTATATAATTTAAGGGTAATGTAATATTAGAAAAGACAAGAACATAGCACATTTACATAAGTGAAGTTAATGTTATTCACAGTGATGAGGACACAGGACCAGTGAGCATTCCCTTGCTGAATTACAACATCTGTCTGACTCTTTTCATTTTAAAAGAATGTGATATAATAAACATCCCCAGTAAGCGGTTCTGAGCAGAAAGACTGTATTTCATGTTGATATTGAAAGTAAGGTTTTTTTTTTTGTGACTTTGCTTCTCACGGCCCTCTGACTTTACTCTTCACCTGACATCCCACTGGGTATCAGTGTCGGACCCAGAGCCTGATCTCGGGAGGGGCACTTGTAGATTATTTAAAGAAATAATCCAGACACAATAACCACTACAGCTCAGTGTAGTTGTTATGATGTCAATAGTGCCGGGACCCCCTCCCAGAGTAAGTAGTCAATCCGTTTAAGAACAGTTTGACAACTTACCTGAGGTCTGCTGGGAAATGGGGCTGTAGTAGGGCATAGGAGCAGTGGTGTGTGTGAGTGATGCAATGTGTAAGGGGTGCAGTATGTGTGTGTGTGTGTGTGTGTGTGAGGGGGACAGTGTGTGAGCAGTGTGTGTGTGTGTGAAGGTTGTAGTATGTGAGTGAGGGCGGCAGTGTATGTCAGGGATGCAGTGTATGTGTGGGACAGTATGTGTGTGTAACAGTTGCAGTGTGTGTGAGTATTGCAGTGTATGTGTGAGTGTGGGCAATGTGTGTGTATGGGGGCAGTGTGTGTGTGTGTAGAGTGTGTGTATGGGGGGCAGTATGTGTGTATGGGGGGCAGTGTGTGTGTATGGGGCATGTGTGTATATGTGTATGGGGCAGTGTGTGTGTATGGAGCAGTGGTGTGTGTGTATGGGGGCAACTTGTGTGTGTGTGTATGGGGGGCAGTATGTGTGTATGGGGGGCAGTGTGTGTGTATGGGGGGCAGTGTGTGTATAGTGGGCAATGTGTGTGTATGGGGGCGTATGTGTGTATGGGGGGCAGTGTGTGTGTGTATGGGGCAGTGTGTGTGTGTGTATGGGGGCAGTGTGTGTGTATGGGGGCAGTATGTGTGTTGGGGCTGTATGTGGGGGTCATGGGGGCAGTGTGTGTGTATGGGGGCAGTGCGTGTGTATGGGGGTGTGTGTGTATGGGGGGCAGTATGTGTGTATGGGGGAAGTATGTGTGTATGGGGGGCAGTGTGTGTGTGTATGGGGAGCAGTGTGTGTGTATGGGGGGCAGTATGTGTGTATGGGGGCAGTATGTGTATGGGGGCAGTGTGTGTGTATGGGGGCAGTGTGTGTGTATGGGGGCAGGTGTGTATAGGTGAGTATGTCTGTATGGGGGCAGTGTGTGTGTATGAGGGCAGTGTGTGTGTATGGGGGGCAGTGTGTGTATGGGGGCAGTATGTGTGTATGGGGGGCAATGTGTGTGTATGGGGGGGCAGTGTGTGTATGGGGGTGTATGTGTATAGAGTGTGTGATAAGGGTAGGGGGGCTGGTGGTCCAGTGTGGAGAGTGAACTCTAGCCCGCGCTCCCAGGCTAGATTTCACTCTTGCGAGATTTGGAGCGTTGCCATGGTAATCGCGGCAACGCTCCAAATCTCGCTAAAGGAGGACCCGTAGGAGCTGCAGGCTAAGCTCCCGGTCCTCTCTCCTTTTTTCTGATTTTTTCTGATTTCTGATCTCCCCTCCGGTCCGCAGGCACATTGCAGGGCTAGCAACTGCATGTGCTGGCAGGGGAGAGGGAGATCGTCGGATTTCTCGGGGGTGGGCAATTGCCCCGTTGCCCCCCCCCCCTGGATCCGCCACTGCCCTACCTGCTATGTAATGGGATCCAAAACACTCCATATTACTTCTAAATTTAAATATGTTTTTCTTTATATATTTTAATAGATAGAACAGATTGATACTTTTAGTGTGAGGGAGCTGATTAGCTCTCTAATTTTTTAATCTCCTTTTCAGTGCCGCAGAGGAGGGCAGAGCATGAAGCTGCTCTCCGCTATGGCAATGAAAGGCTTAACTACACAGCATGGCTGTATATACATGTTGGGGTCTCACAGACCCAAACATTTTTTTTCACATTTTTTCCTGGTGACGCTGTTTGCCGTTATAATTATGGACTTATACCAGTTATTTTCATGACATCATGCAAAACCTATTCGTCTGGAAAACAGCTACACTGGCTGACACTCATAAACCAACGTAAAAGCCAACCTGACTTCCTGGTGCAGTGCCCACTGCTCAAAAACAATCCAATTAAGATGCATCATTTTTTCTGCCCATTTAACCTACGGAAGATACAATCATCCATGATGCCTTTTTCAAAATGTTTTGCAGACTGGGTGGATACAGCTACATCTGCAATACTTATTATGCGGTAAATTTTTGTTGACATAAAATTATAATTATATAAATAATTCACAATTTATGAAAGTAATTGCTAACTAGTGTAACTTCTATTCAATTTAAAAAATAAACCTGCAGATTCCTATCTAGATATTAGATTGTGAATAGATTGTGACTCCACTATACACATCACAGAGGGGTAATGTGGTCGATTTTAATACGTGTAAAAGTGACTTTGAATACAATGTAAGTAAATAGGATTTGGCTTGTAGTCCTTTTGCAATCTAAATTTAAAGATTTTGATATCAAATGTCCCATTTTGTTCATTGATTTTTTAAAAATATTTTTAAATATGACAACATCAATCCACTAAGCCTTTCCCACTCATTTAAAACTTAATTTTTCAGCAAGCTTGACATTATTTCATTGTAAGATCAGTGATGTAGCACAACATAATGTAGTAGATTAGGTTGAAAAAAGACTCACCTTAATTAAGTTCTCTTTCAAGTTTTTCTTGTCTGCAGATGATCAAAAAAATAGTCCAAATAGTAATATAATATTCCATGTTTTAAAAAATATTTTGTCTCAAAAATCCCTAAATATTCTTATCTCATATCTACAGCCATGAAAACAAACATGTGTCCATCATGTTCAGCCTTTCTCACATCTGTTTTTGCTGTTGATCCAAAACTACACAGCATGTTCAAGGTTAGTCTTACCAGTGATTTATAAAGAGGCAAAATTATATTTTCATCCCGAGAATTAATGCCCCTTTTTATACATGTCAATACATTATTGGCCTTAGCAACTGCCAATTGACATTGTATATTGTTGCCTATTTTGTTGTCTATAGCCATTCCTAAATCCTTCTTGTTGTTTAAAGAAACCTGCCTTTGTGTAAAATTATATTATATCCCATTATATATTATATATTATGTATCATATCCCATTATACACAATGATTATGCACAGTTGTGCTCAAAAGTTTGCATACCCTAGCAGAAATTATGAAATCTTGGCATTGATTTTGAAAATATGACTGATCATGCAAAACAATGTCTTTTATTAAAGGATAGCAATGTTATAGACACACAAGGTGACACACACAGGTCAAAATGGCAATTAAAGGTTAATATACCACACCTGTGGCTTTTTAAATTGCAATTAGTGTCTGTGTATAAATAGTCAATGAGTTTGTTAGCTCTCACGTTGATGCACTGACCAAGCTAGATACTGAACCATGGGGAGCAGAAAAGAACTGTCAAAAGACCTGCGTAACAAGGTAATGGAACTTTATAAAGATGGAAAAGGATATAAAAAGATATCCAAAGCCTTGAAAATGCCAGTTAGTACTGTTCAATCGCTTATTAAGAAGTGGATCTTTTGATGCCAACCCAAGGTCAGGTAGACCAAAAAACATTTTAGCCACAACTGCCAGAAGAATTATAGGGGATATAAAGAAAACCCCACATGTAACCTCGGGAGAAATACAGGCTGCTCTGGAAAAAGATGGTGTGGTTTTTGCAAGGAGCACAATCAGGACCGGCGCCACCGTTAAGCAAACTAGGCATTCGCCTAGGGCGCCTGCATGCTGGGGGCACCCACTGGGATATTTCCTGGTGGGCTCCCCTTGTCTTGGGCCGCAACGCTGGGCGAGCTGCTCTGGAGCCGCCCCCCTCAGCACCAGGCCGCAGGTGGGGGGCGCCCAGAGGAGCCCTGTCACGGTATGGCAGAGCAGGCTCCTTCTTACCTTGATGACAGGTGCGGCGAGGGAGGCTCTTCTTGCAGCCTCTCCCTCCTCCCTCGCTCGCCCTCTGTGATGCCGGGATGTCATATGACGTCATTCCGGCCCCCGGCATACTAAACAGCGGGTGGGAGGAGTGAGGAGCTGCCCCACAATGGACCCCAGGGAGGTGAGTGTTTGAGTGATTGTCAGTGAGTGACTGTCTGCCTGTGTGTGTGTGTCACTGAGTGAGTGTCTGTGTGTGTGTGTGTTACAGTGAGTGAGTGTATGTCTATCAGTGAGTGTGTGTGTGTGTGTGTGTGTGTCTGTCAGTGAATGTCTGTCTGTGTGTGTCTGTCAGTGAGTGAGTGTATGTCTGACAGTGAGTGTGAGTGTGTGTGTGTGAGTGTGTGAGTGTGTCAGTGAGTGAGTGTAGGTCTGTCAGTGAGTGTCTGTGTGTGTGTGTCTGTCAGTGAATGAGTGTATGTCTGTCTGTCAGTGAGTGTGTGTGTATGTGTGTGTGTGTGTGTGTGTGTATGTCAGTGAGGGAGTATATGTCTGTCAGTGAATGTGTGTGTCTGTCTGTCAGTAAGTGTGTGTGTGTGTGTGTCTGTCAGTGAGTGAGTGTATGTCTGTCAGTGAGTCTGTGTGTGTGTGTATGTATGTCAGTGAGTGAGAATATGTCTGTCAGTGAATGTGTGTGTGTGTCTGTCTGTCACTGAGTGAGTGTCTGACAGTGAGTGTCTGTGTGTGTGTGTCAGTGAATGAGTGTATGTCTGTCAGTGAGTAAGTGACATGAAGGGGCGGCAAAATGGATCTTTGCCTAGGGCGGCAGAAATCCTTGCACCGGCCCTGAGCACAAAACGACGATACTTGAACAAAAATGAGCTGCATGGTCGAGTTGCCAGAAAGAAGCCTTTACTGCACCAATTCAACAAATAAGCCTGGTTACAATATGCCCAACACCTTGACACACTGTAATTTGGAGTAATGAGACAAAAATAGAGCTTTATGGTCACAACCATAAGTGCTATGTTTGGAGATGGGTCAACAAGGTCTATAGTGAAAAGAATACCATCCCCACTGTGTAGCATGGTGGTGGCTCACTGATGGTTTGGGGGCGGGGGAGGGAGTTCAAAAAAGCACTGGGAATCTTGTGAAAATTGATGGCAGGATGAATGTAGCATGTTATCAGAAAATACTGCCAAACAATTTGCATTCTTCTGCACAAAGGATGCACATGGGATGCTCTTGGACTTTCCAGCATGACTTATGACCCTAAACACAAGGCCAAGTTGATCCTCTGGTGGTTACAGCAGAAAAAGGTGAAGGTTCTGGAGCGGGCCTTTACAGTTTCCTGACCTTAATATCATCAAGCCAGTCTGGGGAGATCTCAAACATGCAGTCCATGCAAGACGACCAAAGACTTTGCATGACCTGGAGGCATTTTGCCAAGACAAATCTTGCAGCGATACAACCTCATAGACAACTATTACAAAAGACTGCACGCTGTCATTGATGCTAAAGGGGGTAATCAATACACAGTATTAAGTACTAAGGGTATGCAGATGTTTGAACAGGGGTCATTTCATTTTTTTTCTTAGTTGCCATGTTTTGTTTTACAATTGTGCCATTCTGTTATAACCTACAGTTAAATATAAATCACATAAGAAATAAAAGAAATGTGTTTTGCCTGGTCACTCATGTTCTCTTTAAAAATAGTACATATATTACCTATTCTCCAAGGGTATGCAAACTTTTGAGCACAACCGTAACTATCATGTACACATTTTTTCTAGTGTTTTGTTTTTTTCTTACACAATTATTGACTAATGTCTGGAAAAACAGTTGACTTTGTTCTGCATATTTGCCTTCTACTAAATTTGCTTAGAAAAAATCTAGTTCGAATTAGGTTTTTAATAAGTATATATGTTATGCAGGATTTACATATGATAATTACTGATTTCAAAGCAGACACCACATTTAGCCATAATTTGCTGATGTGGACCAAATTCAGTCCTTAGTAAATACCTGGTTAGTATCTTCCAATAGTACAATGATGGTTGAAAAACTGGTGCCCACAACATGGATTTTATTTTACTAGATCCAACTATAACAATTTACTTTCTTCCTCCCCTGACAGGAGGATGTTTACAAATCTCTGACGTCCTTTGAGCAACTCTGCTCTTCAGGTGAAATACAGGCATCTCTGAATTACATGAGTGATCCAGGTACATGTGTCCATAGGATGATGTGCAGGGGCATGTTTTTAGCAAGGAACAGAGGACAAGAAAATTCAGGCTGCATTTACAGTGCACTATGTGCTCATATATAAAGAAAACAAAAAAAAGTACAGACTTTTTTCAGGATGGTGCAGAACTCAAAAACACTGCTGCAATCTATATGCCAAGACAAGTCCAGTTTCTGTTATGGAACTGTTGATGGAAACCTGTTTCACATAGGATGGGAGTGTTAAGAGATAGCAGCACGAGGAGGCATATTCACTCTACTTTGTGCCATCTACTTAATGATCCTCCACTGTTCTATCCTTAGACTATTTATTCCATCATGCCAAATAGCCCATTTCTAGTTATAACAAAATTGCCAGTCACATCTTCTAAACCTTGATCATGGTCCACACTCATACTCTGACTTTTAAAAAGTGGGTGGCAAAAGTTGAGGAGATAAGGACAAAGAAAGAAATGAAGGCCCCCTATACTGGCTTGAGTACCTTGTTGAGGCATTGGAGCCACGGAGAGGGAAGCATTTTCACTTCCTGTCTAAAACTAGCCTTCTTCCTCATTCTCCTTTTCCCTGTTTTCCTCCACTTATCTGCTGACATTCGTGAACAGTGCCCCTTCTAGTAAAGTACCTACATCAGGAAAATTGCTTTAATGTTTGCTACTTACACTATAATAATGTAATCATGCTCTCATAATATTGTTACTTCTTAGCACTGGATACTGTGCATACGCTTACTGGATCAATACTTACCTTCCCCTTTCTCCTTTTTGTTTTTACCCTTTCCCCTGCATGGGATATCCTTTTTGTTATAAGTATTGAAAATTGTATTGATGAACACAAAAAAAAAAAAAAAGCTGGTTCCCCAAATTTTTCAGCATATTGAGAATTTAAAAAGGTAAAATGATTAAATTAGCTTAAACTTTGACCAGCATATTTGCATTTTATAACATATCAAGCAAAGAATCATCTTGATTTTTTAAATTTATTTATGTTTTTGCCAAAAAATAAAACAATGCACCAAAGGAAAAAGTAATAGGTGCTCACGACAAACTAATACAAAGTGGAAACAGGCTGCAGTAACTAGTACAAGGATTCCCAACCTTGTGAATGATAGTACATAAAACAAAGAGAAGAAATGTACAAAGCTGTATACGTACACAAATATTGTGGAGTTATATATAAAAAAACAGAAGAGACAATAATGGTGCAGTACAGTATATACTCAATCAATGAGTGACGTGTGATCTTTGGTGATTACACTCACATTTAATTGAGCCATTTCAGAGCTCGGCTGTTTCAAAGCTTGGACAGAACAATCCCCATCTAAGGATATATGCTGATGTGGGTGTCCAAATGGCTCAAGTGGAGTGCAGTATGCAGTACATATATAGGAGGAAATACAGGGAGAAAAGCTGCAATGATGAAGTAGGTATTCGTAGATATACAATAAAATAGATAGAATAACGTACTTACATTTACCAGAGCAGAACTTGCTCTGGTATATGTAGCGTTGGAGGTATAATCCCCACCCAGGAATATGATGGTACCAGGAAGCGAAAAGGCACAACGATAGGCACCAGATTTGCGCCCAACTATGCCAACCTCTATATGGATGAATGGGAGGACCGATTTGTTTGGAGTGAACATGGCTGGGCGAAAAATCTGGTGTCCTACTCAAGATATATAGATGACCTTCTCTTTATCTAGAGGGGATCTATTACGTCAGCACCGGATTTTATTTCATTTTAAAATTTTAATGAAGAAGGTATTATTTTAACTGCTGATTTTAGAGATATCGAAGTCACTTACTTGCACCTTAATATCTATATAAAAGAAAACAAACTAAACACAAAAACATATATATTTTTTAAAATTATTTTATTGTGCAAAAATTTACATACATGCATGCAATGCCACAACAGCATTAGCAAGTTTAGTAAAACAGAGTTAAACATGTGTGTCATTTTGAGATAGCTGCACATTTTATAAGTTTTATGGGTCAAGAGTAAAACATATTTTAAATGGAACCGAAGTGTGTTCTAAATAATGAGTAGTAAACTCAAGTGTAAGTGGTTCATAAGTAGGTATGCAAGTTAAGTCACTCAGAAGGTTAACCTATGTGACCTGCTTGGGTGCGAGCGGGGTTGTACATAGGCATGTCTAGTCGTTAGTAATTATGAGGTACATTCACATGGCTAAAAGACTGGCAATACATGTATTATGACACTGCTGTAGTGGGGCAGAGATAGGGAAAAGCGGAGTATTAGGGATCAACAAATCAGGAAATGCTAAACTAATGTAATAATTGGGAACCGTGCTCAGCTGCAGTGGAAAGAGTCCTTGTAGCTGCACATCTTCACCCGATGCCACTTATGTGCTGGAGCAGATAGTCCTTTCTTTGGCCCGTTAGTGACTCCAACCAGATCGGGGGCGCAGCCCGGAATCCCATGCCTCCGTTGTTTGTCTTGAGTTTCCCCAGTCCTTTTCTTCCGGCGAGGCCGGTCGGGTTCCTGAGCGTGAATGCTATTTGAGGTGCCTGGTGTGTTGGCAGGGTCCGAGTCTGTAGTGGAGCTGGATGGTGTATGCTGCTGGAGGAGTGGGTGAGTGTTTCTAGGTGTGTGTTTAGTTGCAGCGTGGCGCTGTGAGGGTGAGGGGTCCCTCCACATCTGGGCTTGCTGGTGGGACAGTGTTTCGTTTTTGCGTGCTTGAGTCCTAGTGGGGTCCCGGGCCTCTCTGGTGCGGTGGGTGCCGTATGTTGCCCGCGTGGTGCTCTGTCTGCTCTCTATTTTCTTTAGCATGTGTGGCTGGCATTTGCTTGTTGGTTTGTGGCGATGTGGGGCTGCAGCCCAGTGTTTTAGCTGGTGCTTGGTTTGTTGAGCGTCATGGAGTGCTTTGCCCGGTTGAGCTTTTGCCATCCTCATCCTGGTCTGGCGCCAGTGAGTTCTATCTGGTTGGTGTCATGTGGCTGCCTTTGCAGTGGTGCTGGCTGTTGGTGGCTGTAGAGGTTGGCGCCTATCTCACAGATGGCATCAAACTTTGCCTGAAAGGCAGTTTCCCAGTCCCTGGGGTTCTGTCTCTTTGTGCTGGTGTCTGTGCCTGTAGCGGAGAGCTGATTTCTCACAGCTAAACTCCACCAAGTACTTTAAGAGGATGCAGGAACAAGTAATAAATCCAAGAGAATATCCAGCACAATCAGCATTACAATCCAATAATATCCCATCACTTTCCCCAATCACTGGACGACACACAGTATCAGGAGTAGAACTGAACTTTTTAATCACACAACCTTCTTTTAAAGCATTCTCACATGCAAGGGAGGGATTTACAGTAATACACAATACACCAATCATACACGAATTGCCACCCACACATCCCCTCCTCTTAGTGTGACACATAATCCCATTATGCAGGACACAGTTCCCCTGGTTTTCTGGATGTACCCCAAAACCTAGGAGTACCCCTTTAAATATTACATCCCCTGGTAACCCTGATCTGGGTGCGACACATATCCAAAAATCACCCAGATCAAATCAGGGGTTCAGGAGTTATGGGGGTTTAAAGTTTTGTGGAGGTCCCTTTAGGCCCACTGAAGCATGGCTTTCCAGCCCAAACCAGTTCCAAGTAGTCTGGCAGTGTGCCTGGGACAACGCCCTGCTGGAGAACAATGGGACAAGAAACAGGGGAGGGGTACACCTTCCTATACACAATCCATACACAGTCCAACAGAAGTCCATACACTGTGCTTAAAGTTTTGTGTACTCCAGGCACAGGAAAATCTCTGCAGGGCCAACAATCAATAAAAGGGAATGAGCCAGCCAAAAAGGGGTTCCGCTACAGTGCCGTCTGCCATTTTGTTCTGGCCTCGTGTCTCCCACCTATCGGCCCCTCTCTGCTGGTGAGTACCTTCTTGATGGGGGTGGACCGGTATAACCCCCGCCGGTCCGGGGGGGGGGGAACTAGAGCTCCGCCACAGAAGTTCAGTCTGTTTTGGCGGTAGAGGAGCGGCCGTCTCCTCCGCGCCCGCCATGTGGTTAGGCCTCATCCTCGTCTCAGGGAAATACTACTCGCTTTGTGTCGCGGGTGGTATCCACTTGTGCCTCTGACTCCCTAAAACATATTTTAAAGACATACACGTTAATAATTATATAGGCACCAATAGTTGCCATAATAAAATATGGCTTGAAAATATACCTAAAGGCCAAATTACTAGGTTAAGGACAAATTGCTCTGAAACAACTGTGTTCAAAAAACAAGCTGATGATTTAAGAAAAAGATTTACCCAAAAAGGATATAAAATTAAAACCATAGAAACAACTATAAATCAGACACTAAAACTAATCCAGAAAGATCTCATAAATAGAGAAAAAGTCAAAAACAAACAGAATTTTTCATTACCTATGGTGTTAGATTATAATAATAAAAATAAAGAACTTAAAAAGATTGTAAAAAAAAAAACCACTGGCACCTACTAAAAGAAGACGAGTTATTAAAAAATCTAATTCCCGAGAAACCTAAGATAGTATTTAGAGGTGCACCGAATCTCTGCACCTTACAAAAAATTATACTAGAGATAGTCTTGCTAAAATCCGTAATTTTATAATGGAGAAAAAAGTTTTTTATAAATGCAACTGCTGTCTGGCCTGTAAAAGAACCAATCCTAATACAAGTAAATTAAGAACTACCTTCAAATCGAATAATACTGGTAAAATTTATGCTATTGAGGATATCAACACATGCAATAGTAAAACCGTAATATATCTATTGGAGTTCCCTTGTGGCCTCCAATATATTGGACGTACGATTCGACCACTAAAGATAAGAATAGCAGGGCATTGCAGAAACATAGACAAGGGATATAAAAATCACTCTGTCTCAGCACACTACACAAAAAGTAATTCTAAATACCTCACCTTCACTGGAATTAATATTGTACAAAATCATTGGAGATGTGGAGACTTTATTAAGAAAATTGGGAAGAAAGAAATGGAATGGGTTTATTATATGAATCCATTACACCCAAATGGTTTGAATTTAGATTTTGATATGATTTTTTATAAAGAAAAAGTATTCTTTTAATATTTATATAGATTAATTTTTTAAAAGAAAAACTTATTTTTTGTAATGCTTTATATATATTTTTTGGGCTACATAGCATTACCATTATCATGCCCATTCTTATTCCTAATTACCAGTTTCCTTTTTGCTCAATTCATTATTTGAGTGGATTGTCATATATTTGGTTTTATTATATGTATATATGTAGTTTCTCTCATACATATCTTAATATACACATTCCTTTTATTAGGTTTTTATAATACAGCTCTGAGAATCTACTTCTTTTTTATGTGTTAGTTTATTTTATGTATCCATTAATTTTTTTTCTTAGTTCTCATTAGTAATATGTGACATCTATTTATATGTATGTATCTATTACTCTTTTACTCATCCCCATACTTATGTATGCCTGATATACCCTTCTGTTCTCCTTCCCTACATGTTGCCTGGTTTCAAAATGGCCGCAAGGACACTTCCGGTATTTGAGAATCAATACATTGAAAGGGGCTTTACGTCACTTCCTCTATGACACTGCTCCCATTCCGGACTTATATAGACGCACTGTATGTTCAAACAGCTTTTTATGCTGTTAGAACTGTTATGCACACCTCACCCTTTACTCCTCCTTCATGGTCAGGGGCGTATTAGCTGCGAGGCAAACAAGGCATTTGCCTTGGGCGGCATTTTTCAGGGGGCGGCAAAAAACGCCGCCCCCCAAATGCCCAGGGCAAATGCCTAGTTAGCCTCGCGGCTAACTGACATGCTGGCGCTGCGCGGCGCTGGGCGGGCGGCTGGCAAGGGAGCTCTTCCCCTGAGCTGACTGCTCAGCTCCCTCGCGCGCCACAGAGTGAGGCTGGAAGCCGGGTTGATGACGTCATATTCCAGCTCCCAGCCTCACTCTGCGGCGCGCGAGGGAGCTGAGCAGACCGCTCAAAGGAAGAGCTCTCTTGCCAGCTGCCCGCCCAGCGCCCAGCAGCCACTGGACCCCCAGGGAGAAAGAGGAACCCCCCCAGCATTCCCAAAGGTAAGGAGGCTGGGGGGGGGTTAAATAAAAGAAAAAGTGTTAATGTGAGTGATTGTGTGTGTGTGTGTGTGTGTGTGTCTGACTGTCTGACTGTGTGTGTGTGTGCGTTTGTGTGTGTCTGACTCTGTGTGTGTGTTTGTGTCTGACTGTGTTTGTGTCTGACTGTGTGTGTGTGTGTTTGTGTGTGTGTGTGTGTGTGTCTGACTGTGTGTGAGTGTGTGTGTTTGCGTCTGTGTCTGACTGTGTGTGTGTGTTTGTGTGTTTGTGTCTGACTGTGTGTGTGTGTTTGTGTCTGACTATGTATGTGTGTGTGTCTGTGTGTGTGTCTGTGTGTGTTTGTGTGTTTGTTTCTGTCTGTGTGTGTGTGTGCCTGACTGTGTGTGTGTGTCTGACTGTGTGTTTGTGTCTGACTGTGTATGTGTGTGTGTGTATTTAGAAGGTGGGGCGGGGGGGAGGGTTGGGTGGGGGTGGCATGGGGGGAGGGGGGTGCCTGAGTTTTGTCATGCCTAGGGCAGCACAAAACCAGGATACACCACTGTTCATGGTAAGAGTTATCATAATACAGATGGAACCGCAACACTGCCATTTCGGCATGTTTGCGTTCCAAGCTGGAATACAGGAAATCTCCATGATGGACACACGCTGGGTCACTTCCAGTGTGACGTGTGCATCCCACCATGGTCACAGGAAATACAAATCACCACACCAGGACGTTATTTTCAATTATAGACTGCCTATAAAAACAAAACTTTTTGAGGATGACCCCATACTTCTGAAGAAGCCTTTGATGAGGCGAAACGCGTTAAGTGGACTCCTTGAGCTTATTTTTATTGTTCTTATTGCTTTTTTTGTTTGGTAAATAAAAAGTGTATTTTATATATCCGTATTTGTTATAGTGCTTGGAGTATTCATTTAAATAATTAAGTTTTCATCTATATAGATGAGTATAGAGAACATGTGCTTAAGTCATTGTGGCAATGCTAACATGCTTTATTGTGAAAGCAAAGATATCTACTTGCTGTTGCATATGATACACACACCTGCCTGAATTCTGGTTGTATAGGTATTCCATAAACAAATGACTTTCTTGTGATACCTGGAGATTTGTATTATTGCCAGTGATCAAAGGGGCAGAAATCATGATGGCTTTTTGCAGTAAACCCATAGACTCTCTCTTGGTTCCTCCAGCAAAACCTGCTTTCAAGTAACTAAATGAACAAAAGAAGCAGGGAAAGGCCTCTTGTTGCAGTAAAGTCATTATCAAGAACATAGAAATCTTAACCAGAAGAAAAAAAAAACATTATTGTATAAAAGTTAGAAATGAGCAGGCATCTGGCACTGCTCACGCAGGCTGCAAAATGATATTAACATTTTCTTATTTTAAGGTGAGCTTTTTAAAACGGAATTTTAAATGGTACCCTGCTGGTTCACAATACAGAAACCTTTCATTTTATGCAAATAAGGAGCTTGGAGCTGAGTCCTTAATGTAAACGAATGCTTTCTTTGTACGAGAAACTGCAAGAGAGAGAGAGGCAGAAAAAAATATATTCCCTTGGATTCTTTAATTGCTGTCTGAAATTATGTAAATCCCTTGATAAGTTAGGGTATAATTATCCTGTGGCCTCTGCATGCCAGTTTTACTAACATCTAACAAAATATCCGTGTGTGACATTTAGTAGAGGTAATGCTAATGAGAATTTAAATGTTTCTTTTTTTTCTTCTAAAAGACAAAAGCTAGAGGGGATAAAAAGGCAAAAGCAGAAAAGATCAATTAAAAAAATATATAAAAATAAAGACAGTTGTTAGCATCAGTTGCTTTTAAGAAGAAAATCTGTGAACTAA